CTCTCTCGCTATTCTCTCCCTTCTCTCTCTCTCTCTCTCTCTCTCTCTCTCTCTCTCTCTCTCTCTCTCTCTCTCTCTCCCCGTGGCTCGCTGTAAGCCAACAGAAGTAAGGACGGGTTTCCGATTAAGGCCTTATAATTGACGTCTCGGCCCCCCCCCCTCCCCGTCTGGCTTAGTCACCGGCAACTGGAAGGGCCGGCAGTGGACCCGCTTTTGCACCGGATCAACGAACCGCCCGATCGATGCATTCCCGATCTTTGCCTCGCGTTTTACTTGGCGTTTACCTCTTTGCTCTATTAGATTTTCCACCTGTAGGACGCCGCGGTGTTCATTCTTATCAGCTGGCACCCCCGTTTCACTCTCTCTCTCTCTCTCTCTCTCTCTTTCTCCTCTTCCTGCAGAGATTAGAGGCTTGCCTCGTCAGACTCTTCGGAACCTTGCTTACGTAAATATCTTTTTCGTTGCAATTCTCTCTAGGCTGATGCTTTCATCTAGTGTCAAGCCCTTCTTTAAGTAAGTCAAATTTTGGGGCTACATTTGAGCATATAATTGTTATGTACTGGGAGTCTACTAATTGTGAGTTGACACAGAGAGTCTTCTACTCTGGACTTGGATAATTAATAATTTGAATTACATTTTATGTTGCAATAAGTGGAGTTGCCGTCCACGGGTTAACAACTACTATGTGGTCCAGATCGAATGAATTTAATCTGACACGTATTCTCGATTGTTTCGAGTAAGCGATTAGGTCACAGCGTGAGAATCCAACTGCCATGGAAAATCGCAAGATACAGCACAGCTTCACCCCTCATCCTTGCATCCCAATTGGCTGCACGCAGCGCCGGGACGTCCGATCTTTCGAGGACTATAAATCGGAAGTAAGGGTCCTGCCGGTTGAATGAATCGGCGCTGCGCGAGTCGAGCGAATCATCGAAAGAAATGTATAAAGCCAATCGATAGGACTTACCATAGTCTGGTCGAACAACTGCCTGAACCGCTTGCTCGTTCTTTTTACTGCGACTTACTGGTTCGCCGAGAATGGTAAAGTTTCTAGGTCCCACACGGTTCACAAACACTAGGTACACTTTACCCTTTTCAATATTGGCCCTCACCATCCCACTCTGATTGCTATGAACTACCTCGGGGCTGCACAATGTCGACTTGCCCGGCGTTTTGTTGCGAAAGTGCAGCCTCACGTTGTCGTTCTTCTGCAGGGGTTGAAACCCCGACTGACTCTTGTACACCTGCTTCACCTCGAAGGTCACTGAATAGTTCAAGTCTGGTTTCCTCGCGGAGGACATGCTTCTGACCTTGCCCTCGAAAACAGTCGGTGCGAGAAAGGCTCTGTTACCCACGTCCACGTCAGGACACCAGTTCTGTCTGCGACATGGTTTGTTACGACATTGTGGTCCCTTCCTCGAAGCCGACTCGGCCCTCGTGCGATTCTTCCCTCGATTCGATTGCTGCTGCTGCTGCTGCTGCTGCTGTGCTTGTGGTTGTGGCTGTTGGTGATGATGGTGCTGCTGCTGCCTCTGTCTTTGCCTCTGCCTCGGTCTCTGTCTCTGGCTTACCGATCTCATCATCCTCGGCCGCTCGATTGACGATTCCGTCTGGAGCATTCGACTCAATCTGTCCTGTGGTCGCTGGTTCCTCGTGAACCACGACTCCAAGACACTACTGTACTTCGAAGTTGCCGGAGAATTTGGCATCGTATGCGTCATTGGAGAAATGCCTGCATGCTCTTGAAATTGCGATGCGAAGCTCCGACGGTACGTAGCGAATCCTGAATTTGTTGGCGTTGGCTGATAACTGTGAAAGTCGTCGGCGCTGATGGGTTTGGGGGGGCGGCGATGATGCCTTGCCTCAGGCCCACGAACGTCCGGTTGCTCGCGTTTTTCCGGGAGGACCGCGAGGGAGCTCTCCCGAGGGAGGGAGGTCCACATTGTCTCGATTGTCTCGATTGCCTCGATTGCCTCGATAGGCCGGTGATACGCGTAAGGCTCAAGATTCCCCAGAAGAGAAAGGATGCGTGACCGGGTCGGGTGCCGCGACCAGGAACTTCCCCTGCCGAGCGTCAGGCCCACGGGGATAAGGGCATTGGCCAAGCGGTTCGACATGGCCCCATCCTCCTGAGGCGTCTTCGTCTGGGATCCTCTTGAGATGCCCATCGTGCCGAAGATGGCTTTGAACGTCGCGACGCTTGCGGAGGACGCAGGAGCAGGAGTTGGAACAGCAACAACAGCAGTGGTGGCTGTGGGTGCCGTCGTGGCCAATGCTAGTGCGCCCCACCAACCGCTCAGAAATCCAGCCAAAATGAGAAGCGCCCACATCATCCAATCTGCTGGTCTTCGCGAGGTAAAACGTCCTCGCTGGCCCCGAAGGAAATCTCTGCCCTGGAGAAATTTTGAATGGGCTGGCTTTTTATTCCTTCACCCCTTTCTTCTCCTATTCTTCTCTTCGTTTCGCGTCCACTCGACGAGGATCTGTCTTTGCCGACTCGAAGGACTCGTAGAGGAATATTCGTCCAAGGACACGCAAAGGCGTCTCCCAGAGTGACGCCTCATATATACACACACACACATACACACGCAGGCAGACGCGGTGATAAAAAGATAGATAGAGGGAGGGAGGGAGAGAGAGAGTG